GCAGGAGACTCGCTTGAGCCCAGTAGTTGGAGGTTGCTGTGAGCAGTGAAGCCATGGCACTCTACCCAGGGGGACAGCTTGAGGCTCTGTCTCAAAAAACAAAACAAAACAAAACAAAACTGAATATCGATTTAAAATCAACCTATCCTAAAATGCTTAGCTACTGGTTGTATACGTTTTCCTCAAAGACTTAGCCTTTTCATTGGGGTCACTCAGTAAAAAGTCATTATGCCAACAGAAAGACAGGAATGGCTCAGCTCCACAAAAATGTTCTCAAAATAGTCCACGTTACAAAGCACCCTCAATGAAAAGAAGTTGGAAGGCATCAGTATGCAGAAGGCAACGGCTGGGAAATCAAGAGCTACTTCATTGAAATATAGATCTATGTAGTAAAACAGATTAAAAATTTATTTATTAGCCAGGTAGTGGCTCATGTCTATAATTCTAGCACTCTGAGAGGCTAAGGCAGGTGGATTGCTTGAGCTCAGGAGTTCAAGACCAGCCTGAGCAAGAGAGAGAGCCCATCTCTACTAAAAACAGAAAAACTAGCTGGGCATTGTAGCAGGCACCTGTAGTCCCAGCTGCTTGGGAGGATGAGTCAGGAGAATCGCCTGAACCCAGGCGATTGCTGTGAGATATTATGCAGTAGCAGTCTAGTTGGACACTCTAGTCTGGGGCAACAGAGTGAGACTCTGTCTCAAAAAAAAAAAAAAACTACTTATTTTTTGAAAGTGGAAGAAGGTTTTGGGGAATAGGATGTCATGTGGTTATAAGCAGATAGGATAACAACATAAAAAATAGGAGAGAACTAGCATCCAAGGGTCTTTAATTCATTTGTAAAAGGTGCTACACTAACCTTTAAGCTTTATCACATAGAATCCTGAGTTAAACCAGGGCCAAAAGAGACAAGATAACCTCCTGAAGGGGCTCCAGAGCTGCCTCACCTGGAAGCATCTCTTCAGGGCCAAATAGGAGTGAGAGATGAAGTGGCACTGTCCATGCCAAGTTGGTGCTGATATACTCTTCATGGGCTTGGGTCAGAGTAAAACAGATATCCTAGCATAGGTACAACTGAGGAAGAGCTGCACCTGTTGTAACCTCTACATTACTGAGTTAAGAACAACTTGGGAGAAATAGGGAGAAAATTAAAAAGGTGAGAAAAAGAGAGAGCCATCTTTTTCTCTATTCTTCCTTCTCTAATTATTTGGTTTTTTACTACAGAGACAATGGGTGCTGATCTATCCACTGTTTTCCTGATTTACTATTTTGTGGAAATGCTACCTTTGAGCTAAAAATTACTATTAAATAAATCTATAATTTTATTAGTATCATGCTCTAATCAAATGACCTAACTGATACAGAAACTTGGATAAATGGAAAGCTTAGAAGCAAAGGAAAATGATCATACCTATTTAATTTTCTTTCAGATCAAACAAGTATCAGTAATACCAGATTATGTCATTAAACTGAGAACACAAAGATGAACACAAACTAACAAAGTATTCAAGGTTTTATATCACTTGATTCATGTCAGAAAAAAAAGTATTTGTTCTTACAGTAAAAAAATAGGAAGCCAAGTAGTACAGTGGATCTTAAAATTGACAACAGGGCCAAAAAGAGTTGTTCTCTGAAACTGAAGTTAATGAGAATCAACACACAACTAGAAGAATTATTATTAACCCACCCTGCAGAGTGATTTGAACGCAGCTTCCTTACTGTGATTAAAACATGCTTAAAACTCAAAGAAATGAGTGGAAACAACTCGGAAGTATTTATGATTGATTGTTTAAAAAACGAAGAAAGGCATATTTTATTATGGCAGATTTATGACAAATGTTTCTCCTAATTCACTCTCTCTCTTCCCTACCGTGAAAAGAAATTTCCAAAGGCCAATTATGTTAATCAGTCACATACTTGCACTACTATTCAGTGATTAAATTTCAAGAGAAAAATGCTCATCATGTTTATACTTAGCTGACACCAGAGTATTCAATTAGTCATTAGAGAATGTAATCAAGGTCCAGAAAGATTAGAAAAAATTACAAACTGTACTTCATACAAAAAAGCTTACCTTGTAGTTTTTTTAAAACAGCAACCTCCATTTTTAGTACTTGTTTTGGTTGTTGAGCTGATTCCACCTTCAGTGCAACATTTTCCCTGGTAAGCATGTCCAAGGCATCGTAAATTTCTCCAAATCCCCCACCTCCAATCTTTCTCAACTGTAGAGAAAATAAAATAAGAACACAAACTCAAAATTACTATAAGATTTCTAATTAGAAACCAAATTATCTCTTATATGTATTAAGATAATACATAATTTTAATATCCCTATTTTATAATAAAATGTTTCAATATTATTTAACTAAATTTATACCAAGAAGAAAACAAATGCCTGGAAACAATATCAAAACCTTTTCTCACAAGTCTGTCCACAAAAAGTAATAAAGTTATTTAAGCCACAGACAATTTTAAAATTTAGTCCATAGCCGACATCAGAAATGTCACAAAATATTATAGCATTTGAAACAATCACTTCCCACAAATGCCAGTCAGCAACCAGATTTGTTGTTTTAATTTTAAGGCGGTCATTTGTAGACTTTTCAAATCATGAAATCCTTTTGCCAAGTGAAATCTTATCTAAAACAAATCTGGTGGATGTGTGAGATTGGAGGTGGGGTAGTAGCCAGCACTCGGCCCTCTTCACCATTACTTACTCTTCTCTCAGAGGCATCTAATAGGCTCCACAGAGCAGGCAAAGCACTCCTATTCTAATCTTCCCCAAAGTTCACCATATATCTATATATTCAAATAAGAGTAAACACTAATCAATTTAAACAGCTTCAGCAGATAGATACTTAATATTCTTCCTGGTAAAATGTGTTAGTTTAACTGGGGGATAACAGGATTTTTGTGTGAATATTATAAGCAAATTCAAAGAGCTACTGACAACTAGACCTTCAAGGCTCTAAAAAATTGAGTTGGAAGTGGGTGGGTGATATACCTCAAGCTAGAGATGGCAGTAAGTTAGCTTTCTTTCATATCCTGAAGCTATGTCTTCTTATCACATTATCAAATATCTAAGCTGTGATATAATATAGGAAGTCATCATAGGCACTGGGTCCTAAATCCTCACCAACCCAAGAAGGCCCGGCTCATGTCTTATTTCTTTCTCTACTGGGCTTCATTGATTATTATATCTAGGCTGATTTATTTATCTTCTGGATTTCAGTGGTAATTATTTACTTAATCACTCAATGAATCATTTTACCATGCCATACCTCAGATATCAATTGTACTATTACAGTGCTTTTTTTAACTGCTATGTTGCTTAACTTTTCAGTGTCAGTGTCCTTCCTCACTACAGAGAAACAAAGCTGCTTCTTCTACTTTGTTCTATTTATGTCCCAAATAGAATTTGGCAAAGTGCTAACTGTATAATTATTGCTTAAAAACTAATTATTGTTTTGTACATATGAGCCATACTAATTTATTTTCATTTGGTGATAGGAAGGGAATACTTTGTATAAAGAACTACAAGATGAATTCAGGATTAAAAAAAAAGTTCCAGGAGTATACAGTTAAATAAATTGCTCTTTGGTAAGTTCTGACTGGTACTTACGATTCTTTATATTTTTATCTATTAAACAAAGCATGATATAACTTTTAAGAACTCATAAAACAGCACTAAGGGGATATCCTTCTAACTATGGACTGATGAGCTTCCTATTTTACCTCACAAAAAACCTTCACAAAGGATAAAACAAAAAAATCTAGGCTGAAGTAATGTTTTTGCTCCTCAGTCTATACCTATAATGCTATTTAACCATTAATAGAACATTATATTTTATTGCCTTGACAAAGTCCTAAGCCATTATCAATGTTATGCGGCAAAGAGACAGAGGCAGTATAGCATGATGGGGGTACACAGATTAGAGAAAGAATAGAGGTAAGGCCTCTGGCAGATTGTGTTTTCCAAAGATAGCCACAACAGTATCGTCCATCCTTGCTCTTCTTCCATGTAAAGACCTTTCATATTGAAGAAGGCAGTACGACCTTGCTACTCCCCCATGAGAGGTACAGTCCACTTCCCCATGGATCTTACGACTGCTTTAACCAACAGAATACAGCAAAGCGGCAGTGCCAGTTCTAAGGATAGCCCAATCAATCTAGCAGTTTCCATTTCCTGTGTCTCGTAAGCCAGCCACCATGTAAAAATTGTACCTATCCTGAGAAGCTATAGCTATAGCTAGGTGGAAATGCCCTAGAAAATTAGCCACCAGGTTGGGAATGGAAGATGGGAGAGCTAAGGAGTCCCAAGGTGCCAGACAAATAAGCAAAGACTCCCTCCAGGCTCCGTGTGCATAGTGACGGCCACATACACGGAGGCTGGCAGGTTGGAACCTGGCCTAGGCCTGCTAAACAACAATGATAACAACAACAACAAGAAAGTATAGCCAGGGGTGGTGGTGGGCACCTGTAGTCCCAGCTATTTGGGAGGCTGAGGCAAGAGAATCATTTAAGCCCAAGAGTTTGCGGTTAATGTGAGCTGTGATTTCACAGCACTCTACCAAGAGCGACATAGTAGGACTCTGTCTCAAATAAATAAATAAACAAATAAAAATAAAAAATAAAGGATCCTCCAATCCAACCAATCCTGTTAATACCATATAAGAGACAAATCACCCAGGCAAACTCTTCCCAAATTCCTAGTACACAAAACAGTGAGCAAAATAAAATGACTATTTTAAGCCTCCTAATTTTGATGCAATTTGTTACACAACAATAAATAGCTAAAACACAATCCTTAACAATCTGTGATTTCTCAGTAAAAACACCACTAGGTACCCCATGTTTTGGGGACAAGTTCCACAAGAATAGTAGAACTTCCATAGTTGACCACCTCCGAACATTGACTACCTCTTTAAGTTGACCTAATTTTTATAGCTCGGAGATGACTCCATGTATGTTATCAGTAGAGTAACCATGTGCTGACCAGTTTGTTACAGTCACATAAGCAGTCAACTTACAGAGGTTAGCTCTAATTATCAGGACAAGTGAATCATGCCAAGCAGAGCTTCACTTGTCACATTTTGATATGTCTGCTAGAGAACAGCCAACCTTTCTCACAGTACTTAGCACAATGCCCTCACCAAAGCAACACTCAAAAGCTGACTTACATAAAAGATTACCAATTATTGGAATCTTCCTACACCAGTTCATGATAACATGGTTCTTTTCTTATATTTGGCCAAGTAAATCTTCAAAGCCTACTGATTTACCTATCAGTAAAACACATTGTACCACAGAAACAAAATTTTTATTTCTAAGCAATCTTCTTTTTTCAATCTGTTGATAAAGGGAATCACTAAAATAGCCTTGCAAAACCTACTAATAGAACAAAACTTTATAGTTGACAAATGACTAAGTAGCAGTAGAAAATATTTAAATTATCTAAAATCAAAATAGTTCCTTTAAGAAAAAAGCAGTCTTAAGAGAGATGGCAGATTCCAGGTCTAGGGCACAAAAGCCATTAGACTAATAGGATCATATAAAAAGAACTCAGGAGAAAACTTCAAGAATGCTCTTCTAGTCAAATTAAGACAATTTGAACATCTATATGGATAAGTACATTGTAACTTTTTCACAATGGACTGAAACACCATGAATACATTTAAATCCATGTTTTGTTTTTTTTGAGACAGAGTCTCACTATGTCACCCTCAGTAGAGTGCCGTAGCGTCAAAGTTCACAGCAACCTCAAACTCTTCAGCTTGAGCAATTCTCTTGCCTCAGTCTCCCAAGTAGCTACAGACGCCTGCCACAATGCCCAATTATTGTTTTGTTGTTGTTGTTGCAGTTGTCGTTGTTTAGCTGGCCCCAGACAGGTTCCAACCTGCCAGCCTTGGTGCATGTGGCCGGCGCCATAACCACTGTGCTACAGGTGCCAAGCCATGAATTCTTTTTTTTTTTTTTT